TTAGCAGGGAGAGACCGATCGGAAGCCGCGGTCCTAATACACTAGATCGAATTGTAAACGTAATGAGGAAGGAAATACCGAGGTGCAGGCAGCTGCTAGCCTCATGCCGGCAGCTAGGCAAGATGCGATGGAGGAGGAAGGAGTGCGTGGTAAGGGAAGGCCGGCCCGAAGGGGATCTGAGGATATATATTGTGCTAAAAAATGTGTGTACATATATATCTACGAGGTATATGTGTGGGTGGAGACTGATGGAGAAATTTCAACGGAGCTTTGTTGTTATTGTTGTCGTTTGTTATGCTAGCAGCTAGCAGCGTACGAACGTATTGCAGAGCTCCGTGTGTTTGGGTGACAAAGGTGACAGCAGCGTGTGCATGCATGGATCCATTGCAATTATTGGTTAAACACACGTACGATCGAGCGTATAATTCTCGGCCGTGCGCGATATGTCTATGCAGGTAGCATGCATATGCATGATTGAGTGCAAGTGGGAGTGGGCCTTGTGCCATTGGTACCTAGCTAGGCATTATTTGTCGCTCTTCACCACAATAAGCTTACTGTAAGAAAAGAAGATGGGTAAGATCCATCGTTACAAGGATTGCTGGTTGAAGAGGGAAATTAATTACTCCCTTAGAGCAAGGCTAAAAAACTTGATTGTACAGATCACCGCTTATTTTTTTGCGTGGTACACCACCACTGTCATTTCTTAAGGCTTCATTAGCTCGGTATTTACCCCGCTGAACATTTAGATTCGCTAAATAGGAGCCATGCTGATCCATGTCTTTGTGGTTCAACTCATCCATTAGTTTTATCTCTAGAGTTTTAGCGGACGTTGTAAGCATTAGTTAAAGTTTCTTTGACGGGTAAAAGTCTTTATTTCATATAATGGTCATATCGTTTACATCACCCGCAAAAAAAAGGTCATATCGTTTACAAGGAGATGAGAAACAAACTCAGGGATTCTTCGCCAAACTCCAGGCCACTTGGTTTTTCCCCCTAAAGCAATGCTTGAACCACCGTATTTGCTCTCCTAGCCGTAGATTAGGAACAGTATAGCTACAGTGTTTACTCTTGGGAAACAAAACCCACGCACGTTTTTCTGGTGGCGGTATGCTCAGGCCCCAGACCACGTCGAGGACCCAGAACAAGGGAGATGCATGCCAAATTAAGTGCATCATGTACTGCCATGCCCATCCACGCCACGCTCTGGACCATGTACTACCAGGGCCATCCACACCAGGCTCTGGACCATGGACCATCACTAGTAGAAAACAGTCTATTAATCCCGGTTTCAGAGAGCCTTTAGTCCCGGTTCTGGAACCAGGACTAAAGGGTCGGGACTAAAACTCAAAACTTTTAGTCCCTTTTCGCTTGCGAACCGGGACAGAAGGGGCTCCACGTGGCCGCTGCGGGGCGCCCAGGCAGGAGAATCTTTTGTCCCGATTGGTAACACCAACCGGGATCAAAAGGTTGCGACGCGTCAGCAGCTCGCAGGCATTGGTTTTTTAAGGGGTGTGT